GAGTCTCATCAACTCTTACACACTATTTTTTTTTTCACATTTCAAGTGCCAACACTCTGTTTCTATTAATGGAGGTGATTGTTTGTTGTGTTTGCCCAATGAAGATAAACAATGAGCTACGATGTGGGCAACTAAGAAGAATCATTACCACCTTTGAAGCAAATCTCCAATGCCAAATTATTTATATTTCATTTGTCTAACATGTCCCATGCTACACTTACCGCAACAACGTGCGGAGTATCATCTAGTATATCTTAGTAGTTCACTATTGGGCATGAAGCATTGTCAGGTGTGGTGGTCAGGACACCCGCACTAGTGCATCAGGCCACCGGGTCTAACTCTAACCCGTCCTATTTTTTTATTTGAGAAAAATTCACTGTAGGTCCATGTACTTGAGCTGGCTAACACTTAAGTACCACTACTTCAAAATACCCGAAATACAGTCTATGTACTTGTGAAGGGGGTTCACTTTGGTCCGTATATACGAATTGAGCTACGTATTTGCTGACTTGGCTGAGTCAACCGTTGATAGCTGTGCTTTGACCGCCACTTGTGCAGCACCTTCTCCTCCCAGGTAACCCCCGCCCGCCCGCCCCTCTCTCACGTGCCGTTCCTCCGCACGGCCCCGCATTCCCCTGCTCCGCCTCGGCAGCTCCGTCCGCGTGCCCCCGCCCGACGACGCCAACCCCTACGGGAGGAGCGTCCACGAGCGCGCCGTCCTCGCCCACCGCCTCCTCGCCCTCCCCGCCCTCCCCGCCGGCGCTCTGCTCCTCTCGGTGTGGATGGCGGTCGGCCGCGCCGAGGCCGCCGCGCTCGCCGCGGGCGCCAAGGCCGAGGGTCTGGCGTCCGTCGCGGGCCGGAGGCGCCGGGCGGCGCTGCGCGCGACGCTCCTCCTCGCCGTCGCCCTCTGCGCCGCCTCCTGCCTCTTCGCCTTCGCCGCCTCCCACTACAGCCTCCGGTACACGTCCGGCTGCTCCGTGGACCTGGCGACGGGGATCCTCGTCCCCGCGCAGGTGCTGGCGTTCGTGAGCATGGCTACTCTGCACTGCAACTTTGCGTGGGCCGCCGTGTCCAACAACTAGATGATCCATCAGCCAGCCAACCAGCCGGTGTAGCTACCGTCGTCGTCGATCGTGTTCGTGTTAGGGTGAAGTGTGTGTGTGCGCGCGTTGTATCCGAACTGAATTGGCGTGCCCGCACGTCTGAAGGTCCATGATGTAACTTAGGGAGTGCGTGCATGGGAAGAAGAAGCACTGTATGTGCCGATGGCTGGTTGGGTTCTCGATTTCGATGGTTTAGTCGTCATGATTCATGGTGTTCTACCTGTTTCCCCGTTGCTGCTGTATTTGCGTGCCTTCGTTCGCTTCTCTCGCTCGATTCGAATCCAGTTCACTCCGGCGACTCCGCTCACGCATAAAGAATTAAAGATCATTCACATGCAGAGGCCGGGCCAAGGGACCAGTTTACTCTCCGCGCCTAGCTTCACACTTTGCTGCACGCCTAGGCCTAGCCTTCCACTGCGAGCCGAATTTTGGTTGAGATCAACTGAAAGTGAAAGGTCTAGAGTAAGAGTAGGATTGCCATTTTTGCGAATCGAACGGTAACCTTCCTCGCCTGATCTGAACTCTTGTGAATCAGAGAGAAATCTTCAGCTTCATTTTTGAAATAAATAAATACTGATTACACCACATCGTTCTCCATTGGAAATTTTGCAAGTTACTATTATATTTGTTGCACATTACAAATTTTACTGTCCGGAAAGATGATAATTTTTCTTCCGGAGGTAGAAGAAGGCCTGGTGCTACTTGCTCATTTTGCCCCGTGGTTTAAGCTATGCCACAAGATATTAAACGCCAGCACCATCACGTCGTCGAGCTCGCAGCCCGCGTCGGTCAGCGGCGACCTCTCGCCGGCCCAGAGGACGAACGCCTTGTCGCAGCGCGCCGGCGTGTCACGAACGTCCCCCAGCAAGGTGGTCGCCTCCGACTCCGTCAGCCTGTCCTCGTCCGCCCGCGGCGAAGTCCTTGGTGGCGCGCCCCAGCCGGCGCACGGTCCAGGCGTAATCCTTGGCGCACTCGTCCAGGGCCAGCCGCCGCCGGGGCGACGTCTCGGCGGCCTGCAGCCGGGCGATGCGGTCGCCGGTGTCCTTGGCGGTCACCATGGCCATCCTCAACGCGATGACGGCCAGGCCGAGCTCGTCGGCCGTCGCGCTCGCCGGGTCCGCCCCCAGCGTCTTGACGCAGAAGTCGTAGTCCTGCGCCCCGCCGGTGCCGACGAGGCTGCACGTGTCCTCCAGCGTGCTCGCCCTCACCGTGTGCGCGTGCTGCGCGAGGAGCAGCAGGACGAGGGCGGAGGAGAGAGCTTGGAGAGGAGCCATGGTCGTCGTCTCATTTGTTTCTCTGGGATTACCTGGGAGAGGGGCGGAGCAGGGGAATGCGGGGCCGTGCGGAGGAACGGCGCGTGAGAGAGGGGCGGGCGGGCGGGGGTTACCTGGGAGGAGAAGGAGCATTTGCAAAAAAAACCTCCAGCCATCTACTATTAACGCACAAGTGGACAGGTGCTGCACAAGTGGCGGTCAAAGCACAACTGTCAACGGTTGACTCGGCCAAGTCAGCAAATACGTAGCTCAATTCGTATATACGGACCAAAGTGAACCCCTGCGCAAGTACATGGACTGTATTTCGGGTTTTTTGAAGTAGTGGTACTTAAGTGTCAGCCAGCTCAAGTTTTGTGACCTATAGTAAATTTTTCTCTTTTTATTTACACAGTACATTGATGAGTGGAACCCAGCGAAACGACAGTTAAAAAAAAATCCAAGGGTCTTCCTAAAAAAAATCACATGCACCGCTATCTGACAGCGGGCCCTTGCCATGTTGGTGTGACATGCAGGCAGCCGATACGTCCATGTACGTGAAATGTGATCGTATTTGCACATTCACACAAGTTTGATGATTAGAATCACGTATTTTACAAGTTTGTGCACCAAATTAATTATCGTGCGCAAGTTCTAAGACCTTCGGTGTATTTATCTCTGTCGTGATTATGATGAGACGATATGATTTGTGTTGGATGATACGATGAGACTATTATATGTATGATATGATGAGCATATTGCATGTTTATGATATGATTAGAATATTGTATAAAAACTAGAAAAAAGCACCGCAAATACGTAGCAGAAAAAAATATATGAAAAATATAGCAGTAGCGTTCTTATATGGATGGACGAACGCTACTGCCAAGCTACCTAGCAGCTCACCGCGCTACTACTAGGCTTTTCCCTAGTAGCGAGTTGCTAACACGACCATATTATGTTGTAGCCATGTTAACAATTCATTAAATTTGTTTGTTTTTTATGTGTATTTCTTTATGATTCAAGGGGGTCACGGCCGGTCCTGATATTTTGGGGGCCCAGGGCGAAATTGCAACCCGGGGCCCCTACTATAAAGATCAAAATAATAATCTCATTTTTTAGATTCATTCCTTTATCTAACTTATTATTGTCTATTGTTCCAAAATAAAATGAAAATTATAAATAGTGTATTCCTTTACTTAATTAGACAAATCAAATACCTGATAGAGGGTAAACATCAAGATGAAAGGTTTTGCTACGGGAGTCTGAGTGGCTTTATTATATAACCATGTGTTGGATTGAAGTTATGTGTGTATAGCTGAGACCTTCTTCCAATTTTTAAGTTAAATTTGCAGTCATATGATTTGGAGAGAGAATGCAAGGAACGACAATCGAACACATAGCAGGCAACTTTTTTAATAGATAAGACGATTGGTGTTGTGTCGACAAAGTCCAGATTGCAGTAAGATTTAGAGCAACGGACACACGAAATTAAAATTTTGTACTGCATCATATGCGAGACCTTCTAAGGTCTGACTGCTGCTGCGCCATATGAACATGACCAACTAGAAAGAGGTTAGGGATGACCTTATAAGTGGGGTGGCTTCGTCTTGCACATGAGAGGCATCTCACGAACGGAGGATAACACAACGGGACCGGGGACCTGGAGGAAGACTAGCCGGCCGCATGAGGAGAGCGATCTACATCAGCGTCGAGACTCGCGATCGGGGCCCTCGGGAATAGGATCGTCGCGAAGCGGCGAACTCGCGATGGGAAGAAGGAAAACATGGATTTCTTCATGCGTGTGCGTCTAGGTCGATGCCTCCTCATGGTCTGGGCCATGGGCTCCTTGCGAACCCTGGAGGGGGCCCCTAGATTTCGGGGGCCCTGGGCGGCCGCCCCCTGCCACACCCCCTCGAGGCCGGCCCTGAAGGGGGTTTTAAGTTCTGATCAACACACATTTCTGTTTCCTGTCCGCTTTGATTCGGTCCGTGTCCGTTTCTAGAAGTATCTATTTTTGCATTCATTTCCGATGTTTTTTGTATTTATTTCTTCTTTGCAAAATATATATAAAAACAAATGTGGTAGCACCTACTTCTATCTCCGTTTTCATCCCTAACTGATATACACCGGCAATACACGAGATACATATAGAAATTTGCGAATCTCGATGCAGATCAATGGCCACAATTTGTGCTTGCCCTAAATCCTCTCCCACGGTGAAGGAGTTTTTTTTTTTTTGGAAGGAGTTTTGTGACCCACGTGTTTTTTGTGACCGACGTGTAAAAACGAAAGTTGTCGCTCGTTTATGGGCCAGCCCATGTGCTAGAGCTGCAGGCGACGCGGCGGACACCCCCTAAAATGGGCCTCATAGAGACGCTCCTAGAACCTCCAACCCTAAATCCTGATCTCCCTTTGCTACTCTCGACGGACACCGGAGTGCTACAACATCTCAACCCGCCGCCGCCCCCCACCCCCCACCCCCAACAATCGGAGTGCATCTACCCAAAATCCGGCGGCCTCCACCGATGAACCAGCCGTCGCGCCTCCCGAGTTCCCCAAGTCGCGCCGCCACCAACCTGCAATTCGGCGTTTAGATAGAAGAGCGACCTAATTCCCAAATCCCGACCCCAATATATCCAGATCCATGGCGCTCTCTACTGTATTGTTCCACCCCATCAACCTGATGGAGCCATACGCTGCCGGCTCCACCTCCCGACGCTCCGGCTCTCCCGACTGGGTCTTACTCCACAGGTCGGCGCGTTTCTCCGACCTCCAGAACTCAACCACCGTCAAGTCCAAGACGAGGGATGGCCAGGCCGTCGAGGTGTCCTTCTGGCTCGTCCATCCGCCGGGTGTCTCCTACTTCTCCGTCCACTGCCCCTGCCTGAATGAGGATGACTTCGCCAGCGAGCCCTGCGTCATCTGCGCGGAGGCGGCCCTCGTTCTCTTCCGCGTAACCCTCAACATCCCTGGTAATTGGACGTCCACCCACCACTTTGTCTACAGAGCCGGCCCCGGGGAGCCAGCACTGCACCTGCTTCCGGACCCCAATCCCAACTTTGCAGTGTCTTCAGCTGCAGCCCTGGAATTTGGTCTCTTGCCGTTCCACGACGAGCACTATGCCGTGGTATTCCTAAATCGGCACTTTACCAAATATGGGACTTGGCATTTTGTTGTCGACCTCTTCTCGTCCAAGGATCAGGCGTGGAGCACTAAGCTGGCCTTTCTGGGGTTATTATCGGATTCTGTGTTAGAGCTTTTGGCCTCCCACGTGTCCTGCAAGCAGATCGTGGTTGGGAGCAGCTCACTGGGTTGGGTTGATCTTTTGCGTGGTATTCTTCTTCTTCGCAACCCGTCCGATAAATATCCTATGATCGAATACATCTCATTTCCTGTGTCAAGGCCTTGCATCACAGTCAATGAAGGATACACTGCCCAACGTTTTCGCGATGTTGCCTGCTGCCATAATTTGATCAAGTTTGTCGACATCGAATTTCATGACCGTGGGTGCAGCAGAGATAAAGGTTGGAAAGCCTCCACATGGAACATGAACATTTTCTGGAACGAATGGCGCCCACGCCTCACAGTTGAAGTTGCTGATATCTTGGTTCACCCAAGTTATGATGCTTTATTGCCTGAGCTGCGGGACCACGAGACACAAAAAGTGGATCTGAGGAAACTGATTACACATACCCCCACCCTGAGCATGTATGAAGATGATTTTCTCTACATTACGTGCAAAGTGAATGATGAAGACCACAAGGCCTGGGTCATCGCAGTGGACATGAAGCTTGAGGCTGTGGTAGCAGTGGCCCCGTTTCCTGCTAAACAAGGCAACCTCATGCCAGTGTACTATCCATGCGCGTTTCCCAAGCACCTCAACATAACCCCTGGTGATTCTTCCTTCTTTTGCCTCGCATTATTTATCTTTTGCACTCTTGGTTGAAATTTTTCGTTTTCATTACTTTTTAGCTGTTCGTTAGACTTTGAAAATTAATAACTTGGGTAAAAGAAACTGAGCTCGCTCTTTTGGTGAGCTCTGCTGGTGGGCAACTCACCCACCCGGCTTCAACCCCGGCGGCCACAGTGTAGAGTTGTTTCGTGCAGCTGGGTGCCCAGCCCCTTTTTGTCCTTTGATTTAAAGTCGGGCTCAAAGACACTATTTTTCAAGAAAACTTCATACATGTTGATGCGTTATAAGCAGGCACGAGGCAGCAGTCCATGCTCAAAAAGTGTGCTGCCAGTAATCAACTATGAATAAACTCATCTTTAAAGGCCTCACACCTGTAGGTAGACGGCATGTGCCATCATAAACACACAACCACCAGTTCTGTACCCTCCATGAGTCTTAACTCTCCTTATGGTTTGGTGGAGATACACTAAGCTGAATCATGAGGTGGATTCCTAATATTTTGTGGAACGATCACACCCGAGAATTGAGGTGGTGATGAACAAAAAATTCCTTTAACCAAACAAAAAATACAACGCTAATTCAAATTCACTCATCAAAGCTAACTGAAGTATCCAGTATTCAAACACACAAGTTTGTCCTCGTCAAATGCTTTTGCACAATGAAACACCAAAATCTTAGTGGCTTATAGTGTGTTGATGAAATTCGGAACAAGAAGGGACCAAATTTTATCCCCCCAAGGCTCTACCCCATAGAAGTCAGTTCATGTTTGTTTGTGTGTTTATGATTGGACTACGATCCTATCTTAAGAAGTTATCCGAGTATTTTTTTCCTGAACTTTTCTTTATAACTTTTCCTTTATCCAAATTATTATTGCAGGGCTTGATGTGGCCAATCCAGTGCGCAAGTATTTCAAGGGGTAATTCATATATTGCTAGATTTACCTGTTCCAGGATTTGTTACTTCGTATTTACATGACATCTTGTTGATTTTTACTGCTGCTGCTGTTGGATGCCTATTGTCAGGATGGATGCAGCGAAATGTGCTCTGGAAATTCTGTGGACTCAAGACTGGCTCAGGGAACTTGGTAATGGATGTCCACTTCTTGAGATACTAGCTTCCTATTAGCTTTGGTGTAATATATCATATGTGCAAATGCGGATGTGCAGCCAGCATTGACCAATTGCATGTTTGGTCTCTGGAACCTATAATTAATTTCCTGACCACCATATGAAAAATGTCTCCTGACTTTACTCTGCTGTAAGGCCCTAAACACCTGATCAAGGCAAGGATAATACTATATTGGATAATTATGTGGTTTCTCCCTTAAATTTTGTGATCTGTCCTTTCTCGGTGTGAATGTTAAGCATGTACAGTCCTTGAGGTATTATTAAAGCACTCTTATTTTTTAGCTGCCGCTGATGTGTATGAACTTACAAATTGATTGTCATGATCAGAGGTTTTTGTTGACACTGATACAGCATTCTTCTGAGATTCACGTCTTTATGGTCCATTGCAGATGAATGGTTGGAATTTGAGGGGTCATGTTACACCGATTGCATATTACTAGACTGTTGCCCAGTATCATCTCTACGTTTCAATATTCAATCAGTAAGTTACTGTTCTAGTTTCCAGACTTTCACGATATGAGTGCATCATGTTCTATTTGCTAAACTTTTGTCATCAAATTTGCCTTGTTTTGTTTCTTTTAGAAGTTGTTGGGCTTTGCTTCCTCGAGCTTTGAATTGTTTCTCTTCAAACCATGAACAAAGCCATCCATGGATACCATATTTAATTTCCATAATTCATTAGCTGGATCCCAAATTATGAACTTACCTGAATCAAACAATTCTTAATGCAGGTAGTAGAATATGCTTCTTGTAATGGTCGAGGCAAAGCTGCCTCCGAAGCTGTGAATGTTTGCTTACGGTATATACATGAAAGACTTATGCAATTGTCTCTGGAATTAACCTAGCTCTATTTTTGACTACAATTCTGTTGTTTCCTAGAGCTTTGGAAGATTTCAATTTCCAACTGCGCAAGTCACCGAGTGATCCAGTATTATCCGCTGAAGCCTTGAGGAGCAAAATCAGTACCACCCTTGGAGCTTTAAACACGTACTTGCAGATAAAACCCTTTCTTTACTTACATTTAAAAATTAAGTCATGTAGCTATTCTTATTACCTTTTCCGTCTTTTCCAGTGTCTTGCAAATTGCGCCACATACAATGATGGCGAGAAGAAGGAAGCTTCCAGATGCCTGCCACCAAAGAAAAGGAAAACAAACAATTGAACATTGTGAGAAGCCAGGCGATAACAGTGACTACAGACATGGCTTTCCTGATGATGACCTGCTTGTGTCGACCTCAACATCCAGATCCATGCCGCTCTCTACTGTATCGTTCAGTCCCATCAACCTGATGGAGCCGTATGCTGCCGGCTCCACCGCCCAACGCTCTGGCTCTCCAAACTGGGTCTTACTCCACTGGTCAGCATGTATTTCTGACCTCCAGAACAAAACCACTGTCAAGTCCAAGACGAGGGATGGCCAGGCTATTGAGGTGTCCTTCTGGCTCGTCGAGCCGCCGGGTGTCTCCTACTTCTCTGTCCACTGCCCAGGCCTGAAAGAGGATGACTTTGTGGAAGAACCCTACGTCATCTGTGCGGAGGCCGCCCTTGTTCTCTTCTGCGTGACCTTCAACATCCCAGGCGATTTGACGTCCACCCACCATTTCGTCTACAGAGCAGGCCCCGGGGAGCCAGCACTGCACCTGCTCCCGGACCACAATGCTCCAGCATACGAAGCCCAGCAATTTGGCCTCTTACCCTGCGGCGGCACTAACAACGAGCACTATGCTGTGGTCTTCCTACGTTGGAACAAGACTATTGGGGATCATATGTTTGATGTCCATGTCTTCTCGTCCCAGACACAGGCATGGAGTAGCAAGGTGGCATTGCTGTCTTTATCAGAGTCTGAGAACAAATTTTTTTGTAGGCATGATACCTGCAAGCAGATCACGATTGGGAGCTCACTGGGCTGGGTTGATCTCTTGCGTGGTATTCTTGTAGTTCACAAAGTGTTTGATGAATATCCTGTGATCAAATACATCCCATTTCCTGAGTCAAGGCCTTTCTCCCGAGACAAGGAAGAATCTGACGCTCCTCAATATTTTCGAGATGTGGCCTGCTGCAATAATATGATCAAGTTTGTCCACATAGAATCTCATGACCCTTGCTGCACTGGAAATAAAGATTGGAAAGCCACCACATGGAATAGGAAGCTTTCTTGGGGATATTGGCGTCAGCGATTCACAGTTAAAGTTGATGATATCTCCGTCGACCAAAGTTATTCTGCTTTATTGCCTGAGCTGTGGGACAGCGAAACAGGAAAGTTAGATCTGAAGAAACTAAATTTCTACACCCCCACCCTCAGCATGTGCGATGATGATTTTCTTTACGTCATGTCCAAGGTGAATGATGAAGACGACAAGGCCTGGGTCATCACAGTTGATATGAAACATGAGGTTGTGCAAGCAGTGGCCCCATTTTCTGCTGGAGACATGGACTTCCTCCCAATGTACTGTCCATGCTCTTTCCCCAAGTACCTCAACATGACCCCAGGTGATCCTCCCTTCTTTCCCGTCGTGTAATCTACTAAGCAATGTTATCTTTTGACTCTTATTTGTCTGTTGGTCATGTGTGTTTAGGAGAGTGCTTCGCTATTGGTAGTATTGACATTAAACGTTTAGTTATTCGTCAACTTTGAACGTTAGATAGGGTGCATGTGTTGATTCATAGATGTTGATGCATTAGAAGCAGGCTTGAGGCTGCCGCCATGCTAAAAAAATGTGCTCCCAGTAATCAAGCATGGACAAATCTATCAAGGCCTCACTCCTGTAGGCAGACAGCATTTACCACGGACACACAGCCACCTGTTCTGTACCCTCCATGACTATGTTTCTTGTTGTGCTTAGGTGCAAATATGCAGAGTTGAGTCGAGATCGATTCATGATACTTCTGGGATTTTCTCAAATGTTGTGCTTTATAATAATTTATTTAGGTGGTGATGAGCCATCTACTTCATTTCATTTCTTTTACCAAACAGAAAAAATGCCATGGTTCCCTTGGAAAAAAGAACGAAAAAACATGGAATCGTTGATGCTAATTCGAGAATTCACACATCGAAGCTAATTAAGATTTCAAAATCCGGAAACGCAAGTTTGTCTTCAAGTGGCTTTTGCACAACAAAGAAGGAACTTGTTGGCTCTGTTTTAAGCCTCAAGTGTCCTCAAAATGTCGTATAACGAGATCCACACATTGTTTATCAGCAGTCAGCCCTGAGGCTTCCCGTGCGGTGATGAGGCAAGAAAGGGAACAACTTTTATTGCTGTTCTGCCTGTGTTTTGTGCCATGATCCTCTGGTCCTGAGTGGCTTCAGGCTGCACCCTTGAGAATTATATGGTTTCCTTCCTGATATTTGGCTGGTAACTTTTTCTTTTTCCAAATTATTGCAGGGGCAGAGATAACCAATCTAGTGCACAAGTACTTTAAGAGGTAATGCATATGTTGCTACCCTTACCTGTTCTAGTATTTTTCTTATTTAAAATGACACCTTATTGACTTCTGCTGCTGCTATTTGATGCCTGTTGTCAGGATGGAGGCGGAGAAATGTACTGTGGAACTGCTGTGGACTCAAGATTGGCTCATGGAACTTGGTAGTGAATTAGTCCTCTTCTTGAGACATAGCTTTCTATTAGTCTTCTTCGTTGTAATATAGCACATCTGCAAGTGCATCCAACATTCAACAAGTGCATGTTTAGTGTCTTTAACTACAATTAATTTCAGGAACTGAGATGCAAATGTCTGCTCAGTTTACTCTGTTGTATGACCATAAACAATTATTCGAGTATAATATCTTCAAAAATTGTGTGTGGTTCCACCTTAAATTTTGTGATCTCTAACTTTGATGGTGGAAATGTTAAGCATGTACGATCCTTGAGGTTTTGTTAGTGTTATCATCATTTCCTTGAGGTTTTGTGAGTATTATAATCATCATTTGCTGTTGCCGATATATGATCATGTGAATTAAGGGTCAGTTCTTTCGGTAGCTTAAAAAATAAGCCACCTCCTCCCCAGCTTTTCTCATAAGACGCCTCTCTTATTTATCGGGGCTTCTAAACTAGTTATAGGATAGCTAATTTAGAAGTCTCAACAAATTTCAAGGGGCGGCTTATTTTTTTAAGCTAGGGAGAGGCAGCTTATTTTTTAAGCCGCCCAAAAGAACTGGCCCTAACTGTCATAACCAGAGGCTTTTGTTGACACAATGTGACATCCTTATGAGATTCACATCTTTTGGCCCATTGCAGATCAATGCTTGGAACTTGAAAGGTCAATTTACATGGATCACAGATCACTACAATGGTGTCCAGTGTCGTCTCTACATTTCAATATTCGAGCAGTAAGTTATATTCTGGTGTTGAGAGTTTCACGTCATGAGTGCATCCTGTTGCTTCGTCCTCAACTTTGCCTTGTGTTGTTTCTTCGTCATCAATCTTTTCTTCCTCAAGTTTCGAATTCATTCCCTTCAAACCATGCACACAGCTATTGATAGCGCATCTAATATTTCCTGTAATTCGTTTGCTCGGTCCAAATTACGAACACTCAAGCTACCTGAATTGTAAAAAAGAAAAACTTGATGCAGGTGGTAGAATATGCTTCCTCTATTGGTCAAGGCAAAGCTGCCTCCAGAGCTGTGGATGTTTGCTTACGGTATATACATGAGGATACTTGTCCAATTGTATGTTTAATCGACTTGGCTCTATTTGTGACTATGTTGTGTTGTTTTCTAGAGCTTTGGAAGATCTCAACTGCCTACTGCGTAAGCTGCCGAGTGATGCTTTACTATCTCCTGAAGCCATGAGGAACAACATCACTAACGCCCTTGAAGCTTTAGAGAAGTACTACCAATTTTGACAATATTAGAAAAGAAAAAAAAATCATGTACTTATACTGTCAAAATGAATCATTAGCTATCATTTTTAACTCTATTCCGATCTTTTTCAGTGTTTTGCAAATTGCGCCACCTCCAATGATGGTGGGAGGAACAATGATGGATGAAGCAATGACGCCTGCAAATGCCCCAAAGAGACCAAAACCAATATTTGAACGTGGCAAGAAGCCAGGCCATAAAACTGAGCACATGCAGCCTGGCGGCAAGTTATCCTATGGTCGTGGCAAGAAGGCAGGCCACAAAATTGAGCCCATGCAGCCTGGCTTTTCCGATGGCAAGCTATCCCGTGGTCGCGGCAAGAAGGCAGGCCATGAGAAGGACAAATGTGATGATGACCAGCATCAAGCGGAACTTGACCGGCAACTGGAACTCAACCTCCATGGCTCTTGGGGTCCCTGGTTGAGTTCTTTGCCCCAAGATGTTTGGTTCATTTTGGCGATTGCTTTCAGTGCACTAGTACGTGCATGCTTGCGATATCTAAATTCGTAATCTTCATACGGAAACCAACAAGTTGAAGCCAAGTTCTGTAGCTCACTTTCTGTATTCCTGTTCGCGGGTGCTTGCTGTGTGAAGCGGCTCACTTGTGCAGCTCACTTTCTGAACTCTTGCTGTGTGAAGCGGCTCACTTGTGCAGCTCACTTTCTGAACTCGAGAATGAGAAAATGAAGTGTCTGAACTAAATCTGACGCATTCTGTAGTCAGTAACATCAGCACATTCCATATGACTAGAAGTACAAAACATATTAATTTTTTAAATTATTTGGAACTTCATATGTCGGCCATGACCACCTTTCACTATTGGGCAGATCATCATAAATCTGGAAATAATATGTCACTGATATCAGTCGCAAACAAACGATACTTGTAAGATACTCCCTCCGTTTGAAATTACTCGTCCAAAAAATGAATGTATCTAGATGTATTTTAGTTGTAGATACATTCATTTTTGTGACAAGTAATTTCGAACTGAGGGAGTACTAAATAAACGATAGTATGTACTCCCTCCGTTTCAAAATAGATGACTCAAACTTTATACTGAAGTACGGAGGGAGTACCACAAGAATCTGCAGC